CCTCTACATTCCTCTCTTCTCCAGGTGCATACATGCTTATTATGACCCACTTTTTTGCATCCAACCTTTATTTTAATCCATATAATCCTTGAATTTACACATTCATATTCTCTTTTCTCCTTCCATAACTGATCCTTCAACATTATTGCTACCCCTTCCTTAGCTCTAACTCTCTCAGATACTCCAGATTTAATCCCATTTATTTCTCCCCACCGAAACTCCCCTACCCCCTTCAGCTTTGTTTCGCTTAGGGCCAGGACATCCAACTTCTTTTCATTCATAACATCAGCAATCATCTGTTTCTTGTCATCCGCACTACATCCACACACATTCAAGCATCCCAGTTTTATAAAGTTTTTCTTCTTCTCTTTTTTAGTAAATGTTTACAGGAGAAGGGGTTACTAGCCCATTGCTCCCGGCATTTTAGTCGCCTCATACGACACGCATGGCTTACGGAGGAAAGATTCTTTTCTGCTTCCCCATGGACAATAGAAGAAATAAAGAAGAACAAGAGCTATTTAGAAAAGGAGAAAAAAACCTAGATGTATGTATATATATATGCATGTGCGTGTCTGTGAAGTGTGACCAAATTGTAAGTAGGAGTAGCAAGATATCCCTGTTATCTAGCGTGTTTATGAGACAGAAAAAGACACCAGCAATCCTACCATCATGTAAAACAGTTACAGGTTTCTGTTTCACAGTCATCTGGCAGGACGGTAGTACTTCCCTGGGTGGTTGCTGTCTACCAACCTACTACCTGATGTTTTATCTCTGCTTATTGCTTTATACTGTATTGTTCAGTTATTCCCTTTTCTATGCTAATGACTTTCTTTTCCAGTAGCTAACTTCTCCAATTTGTGAAACAGTCCTTGACCCCTAAACTGTGGAATATTTTGAAAAAGAAAAATTTATTGTTCCTATAGACTGAAAGAGTGCATTTTACTGAATGGAGTAAGACAAATGAAAGGAATTTGATAAAATCTTGCAAGTTTATGGTGAAAAAATGATCATCGACAGATGGTGTAAATGTTTAGCGATATTTATGTTTTACAATTTATTGATGCCAAGATATGATTGTTTTTCTGATTTTTTTAATTGCTGTTAATGATATTAGACATGTTTAAAGATATTTTAACACTTCAAACATTATGAAATACTTAGCCCAACATTGCTTCACCTGGAATATATGGTATATATACAGCATTATTGTTTTTCTATTTTTTCTTCCTTTTTTTACTATTTTAGTCTTCTAATGCTGTGTACAAGGAATACTTATAATATTACAGTTATTTCAGAGTGTAATACTTCTCAGAGCATGGAAATTATTCACACTGACTTAACTGGGTTATCATGGGTTAAATATGCTTAGTTTGCTTTGTGGCTGAATTCAACTGTTAGTATCATGTAAAGTAAAAGGACGCAAGTATTAACCCTTCGATTGTTGCAACCCCAAATCCTGAGGTGTCTCCTGGTGTCACAAAATATTTGGAAAAAAAAAAAAAAATTATGAAATGATAGAGAATCTTTTCCCGATAATAATGACACCAAAAGTACAAAATTTGATGGAAAACTTACAGAATTGCACTCTTGAGAAGTTAGCGACCTTGGCTATATTTGTGAATCAGTGATTTCGCCCACTTTGAGCCCTATTTTCGGTTAATTCAATTCTTCCAGTTGCCGAAACTCATAGCTCTTTCTTTAGAACTCCATTTGTCCTATCAACTGAGTACAAGAAACTGCCCATTTACCGATTTTAACTACCCAATAAAGTGGTCAGAAATTGGCAATTTGGCCAATTTCATGCAAATTAAAAAAGTGTCAGTTTCAAAATAGGATCCAGAATGAACAACGCAGACAGTCCTGGCTCTAAAATGTCATTTTCTTTGTTCGTCGGTCACGTCTACAGGCCCCTCTGATATTATTCTTGCTTTCTATTTTGAATTTTTATTCAAACAAAAAGTAGAAGATTGACTGTTATGCAGACTACGGCAATATTGTAATAATTGTATAAATAATGTCAACCCATTCATGACTGCATATTAGAATGGCTAGTTGGACATTTATTGGACAATGACGTCATTTGTTTACTCTTGAACATTGGCAAAAATCAAACATTTCCTCTACTTTGAGCTCCATTTCAAGGTCTTTTTCATAGTAAAACCAATCAAAATCACCTCCAGTTCTTTAATATGTTTTCCATTCTGTCAAATGTGACTAGGAAAACGAGAATATAATGATAAAAACTATACGAAAATACACCTCAAATTCAGCATTTTAATCCAAAAACATGGTTGGAGTTTTTTTTTCCTCATTATCCACTGCCTGCTGCAGGATTTTTTTTATACTGTGCACACTGACCACACAGACCCATTCTCTCACATGTGGGCCTACCAGGCTTCTCCCGCTTGATTTGAAGCCACTAGAATTTTTGAGTATGTATACGTCAAACACATTGGCTCGTAAGACGTATATATACGACCGAAACAGTCAAATGGTTAAATTTAGAATAAATAAGTCATCTTTGTGGCAGTTCCACATCTTGTTAACTGGTAGGGAAGTTGGTGGTGGAACAACAGCTTCTGATTTCATTGTTTATTGTTGCTAGTTAGGCATACTGGTATGTCAGACATAGTCATCACCTGAGTAGTTAACCACTATGCAATGTGTGGTATTTTTTCTATCAAATGAGTACAAGAAACCACCCATTTACTGATTTCAACTATCCAATAAAGTGGTCAGAAATTAGCAATTTTGCCAATTTCACACAAATTTCAAAAGATGCCAATTTCCAGATAGGGTCCTGAATAAACAAGACAGACATTCCTGGAACTAAAATAGCATTTCCTCTGTTCATTAGTCACGTCCCCAGGCCCCTCTTACATTTCTTTTGCTTTCCACTTTGAATTTTTATTCTCACAAAAAATTGAAGATTTACTGTTATGCAGACGACTGCATTACTGTAGAAATGGTATAAATAATATCAGTGCACTTGTGAAAGAATATTAGACTCACCAGTTGACGTGTATTGGATGCATGGCATGATTTGTTTACTTTTGAACTTTGGCAAAAATTGAACATTTCTGCTACTTTGAGCTCAATTTCAAGGTACTTTTCATTGTGAAACCAATCAAAATCATCTCAATTTTTGTAATATATCTTCCATTCTATAAAATGAGACCAGGAAAACTAGAATACAACCATAAATACCATAAGAAAATACAAAGTTGCTGTTTTAAACCAAAAACACGGTCAAAGTTTTTTTTTTCTCATTATGCACTGTGTGCTGCAGGATTTTTTTTATACTGTGCACACTGACAACATAAACCCATTCTTTCATATGTAGGCCTACCAGCTTTCTCTTGCTAGATTTGAAGGCGTTAGAATTTAGGCATACTAGTGCGTTAATAACCCTGGTGCATAAGCCGTACTAGTATGTTGGAAACCCTGAAAGGGTTAAACCAAAATAGTCAGTTTTTTTTCTTATGCACTGCATGCTGCAGGATTTTTTATGTATGGTGCATATTTACTACATCGACCCATTCTCTCATATCTAGGCCCATATTTACCACTCACAGCTTATCTGAGTGAGCTGAGTTTGTCATGTAGTACTATGGCACAGTCAGTGAAAGGGTTAATTGACTCTGCATGGTATCTTGATGCATTTAACCTTTCACAATTTAGCCTCCTGAAATTAATATTGTTCCCAATGTCAATTTTTTTAAATAATTTTTTTTCTTTTGAAATGGTAGGGAATCTTTGTGTTAGGGCATTGACAGCAAAAGTACGAAATTTGATTGAAAACTTGTGAAACTGTGCAGGTGCAGAATTAGCAGTCTTGGTACAATTTATGCATCGAGAATTTCACCCACTATGAGTCCTATATGCAAATAATCCGCACATATGAAAGAGGAGTTTATGACGACATTTCGGTCTGGGTTAGACCGAAACATCATTGTAAGCTTCTCTCTCCTATGTAAGGGTTATTTGTGTATTGTTGCAGTCACGGTATTTTGCCTTTTAGTTCTTGACTAGGAGTCCTATTTTGAGTTAATTTTAATGTTCCATTTGATCAGATTTTTTAGGTATTTTGTTAATATGCCTTCCATTCTATCAGTTGACCACAAGAAACTTGTGATTCAACTAATACAACTACCCTAGAAAGTGCCAATTTTATACAATTAAAAAAATACCAATTTAGAAATACAGGAGGGCCTCGCTTACATGGCACATACGGCTCATATGCTTCCAAGTACTTACTCATGATATTGGACTCGCCCAGAGGCTTGCTGTGAGGCAGAGAAATACAGTGGCGTGTGCCACGTTTTTCCCTCCATGTACAGTGTAAACCAATTTTTATGGCATGTACACTGAAAATATCCCACAATTTTGTAGAAATGTGTTAACAGATCACATTTTTATCAGATGATCTACTGTAGTTCTTTCCATAAATAAATATTAAGTACTTTAAGAGGACCTTGAGGTTTAGATTAGTTTTAAATGAAAGATCAGTGACTATGTATGTGAAGCCATGGAAATAAATGTTGAGTGATTTAATTTGTTTGGTTTATAATTGATGTGAAATTTGTAGTTATGAGCATATGATACATATACAAATGCACGTAACTTTTTTCCAAAGTAATTTTTTTTATTCTGTAAATGGATCTATATACTGGTGATTCTCAGCTTTCCAGTGTTACATTACACTATTCACTTTGTAGTTTAATTGTTGGACTTTAGGATAACTACTCAAATTGACCCAGTATATACATGCACAGCAGTTCTCAGTTAAATATTTCTCTTCTTTTCTTATGAATCTTATTCTAAAATCACTTCGAATCCATGATATTTTGGGAAAGAGTATTTTAATGCTTTGATTTTTTAAATCCATTTTGAAATATTGATATTATTTGTAAGGTAATTTAGGAATGCTAATTATTTTTTGTGTTGGCATTTTTAAACTTGTATTTTTGAATGACATTCTAAAATTTTTTGTTTTGCAGGGTCTAGGAGGAGAAGAGGGAGGAGACTGCTCAGCCGACTCAAGCCACTCTAGTAAGATTGAGAAAGCTTGGCTCTTCCGCATCTGGTCAAAGTTTGACGTGAAGTTCATGAAGCCCTTCTTAACAAACAGTCGTCCCACTCTGCTGGATACCACACCGTTGTGTTGTGCGCCACTTGCAAGACTTCTTACTACCACCGAACAGCTCACACAGGTACCAGCACCAGGGCCGGTGGATGATATGGAGCTGGCTAATACAGTGCTTACACACAGGTACCAGCATTATGGTCAGAGATTGATGAGCTGGTTGATGTAGTGTTGACACACAGGTACCGGTATTATGGTCAGAGGTTGATGAGCTGGTTGATGTAGTGTTGAGACACAGGTACCAGCATTATATATTTGGTCAGAGGGGATGTAGAGATGGTTGATGTAGTGCTGACATACAGGTATCAGTATTATAATTAACAGGTGTTATATTGTTCACACAATAGTATTATGTTAAGCAGGTTTTGTAGAGATGGTTATTGTAGTTTGACGCAGAGGTATAGGTTGTCCATCACTTATCCGGCATCATCGGGAGCTGTGAGATACTGTATTAGTGATTTTTGCCAGATTACAGAGTGGTTAGGTTAGAATACACTTAACCCAACAGTGATATTTAGGCATCAGCAATTTCACCCACTTTACACCCTATTTTTGGCCCATTCCATTGTTCCAGTCTACCAAACTCATAGCTATTTCGCTAGTATTCCTTCTATTCAGTCGATTGAGTACAAGAAACCACCCATTTACCTATTTCAGCTACCCAATAAAGTGGTCAGTATTTGGTAATTTGGCCATTTAACACAAATTTCAAGAGATGTCAATTTCAAAATAGGGTCCAGAATAAAAAAATGCAGACATTCCTAGCACCACAATAACATTTTCTCTGTTCATTAGTCATGTCTCCAGGCCCCTCTTATATTACTCTTGCTTTCCATTTTGAATTTTTATTCACACAAAAAATAGAAGATTTACTGTTATGCAGACTTCTGCATTTGGAAAAAAAAAAAGGATTTTTTCTTATGAAATGATAGAGAATCTTTCCCAGATGCTAATGACACCAAAAGCACAAAATTTGATTGAAAACTTAGAATTATGCTCCAGCGAAGTTAGCGATCTCTGCGACGTACACGCATTGGCGATTTCACTGGCTTTGAGCCCTATATTCGGCCAATTCCAGTGGTCCAGTTGACCAAACTCATAGCAATTTCTTTAGAACTCCATTTTTTCTATCGATTGAGTACAAGAAACCACCCATTTATTGATTTTAACTACCCAATAAAGTGGTCAGGAATTGGCAATTTGGCCAATTTTACGCAAATTAAAAAAGATGCCAATTTGAAAATAGGGTCCAGAATAAACAATGCAGACATTATTGGCACTAAAATAACATATCCTCTGTTCATTAGTCACATCTCCAGGCCCCTCTTATATTACTCTTGCTTTCTGTTTTGATATTTTATTCTCACAAAAAACAGAAGATTTACTGTTATGCAGACTAATGCATTATTGTAAAAATGGTATAAATAATATCATTGCACTAGTGAAAGAATATTAGACTCCCCAGTTGACGTGTATTGGACGTGTGGTGTGATTTGTTTACTCGTGAACATTGGTAAAAATCGAATATTTCCGCTACTTTGAGCTCAATTTCACGGTCGTTTTCATCGTGAAACTAATCAAAATTACTGGTATTTCTGTAATATGTTTTCCATTCTATCAAATGAGACCAGGAAAACGACAATGCAACCATAAATACTATACAAAGATACACCTCAAAGTCAGTGTTTTAATCCAGAAACAGAGTTTTTTTTTCTCATCATGCACTGCGTGCTGCAGGATTTTTTTTATACAGTGCACACTGACCACACAGACCCATTCTCTCACATGTTGACCTTCCATCTTTCTCCTGCTTGATTTGAAGCCACTAGAATTATTGAATATAGAGTGGACCCTCGACCAACGGCATTAATTTGTTCTATAGAGCTAGCTGTTAGTCGAATTTGCCGTTAGTCAAATTAATTTTCCCCATAAGAAATAATGGAAATAGAATTAATCCGTTCCAGACACCCAAAAGTATTAAACAAAATAATTTTTTTCATGAAATGTAGATTTCCCTACACAAAAAATGAAAGGGACATGCAAAATAAACAATAATTAAATGCCACTTACTTTTATTGTGGAGTTGTTGATGAGTGATGAGACAGTAGGAGGCCAGATGATGCAGGTGTTCTATTGTTTGGAAGTGGAATCCCCTTTCATAAAGACTTCAGGTACCAAGTCCTTTGGTGGGGTTACCTCCCTTCTTGGATTTTTAATGCCACTAGGACCAGCTTGGGAGTCACTGGACCCCTGTTGCACCAAAAATCTGTCAAGAGAGCTCTGTTTCTCACATGTCCTTAGGATTTCCCTAAAATGGGACACAAGAGTGTCATTGTACATGTTGCCAATACGGCATGCAACAGCTGTGACAGGATAAAATTCATCGATAAATGCTTGCTCCTTTGTAAACATTGTACACATTTCCCTAATCCTTGATGAAGTCATCTTCCTCTGTCTCTCTTCCTCCTGCTCTGAAGAACATTCCTGAGATGTGATCTGTTGCTGTTGCACTTGAGGTTCTTGCAGGTCCAAGATAGTACTGATGATTGAATGGGATTTGTTGTACAGCCTTTCCAACTCAGACATACGCACTCCACTTTCATATTTTTCAACGATCTTTATTCATTTCCATCGTAATTCTCACCCTTTTTACCACAGGCTTGGCACTAGAAGCTTTCTTGGGGCCCATGGTGGCTTATTTAGCAGTTACAAGTGCTAAAAACGCTGGAATAATGCAAAATATATCGCAGGTACACGTGAAATTGACCACTACGGCTTGTAAACAATGGCATTCTGAGTCTTGGAGTGGCTGGGCCCACTCGGGCTGAACGCCATTAGATGAGTTTTTCGCCGTTGCTAGAGCCACTTTTTTTCATGCCAAAGAGCACTGTTAGACGAATTTTGCCATTACTTGATGCTGCCGTTGGGCGGGGTTCCACTGTATATACGTCCAAAACACTAGCTCGTAAGACGTATATGTACGGCCGGAACAGTCAAAGGGCTAAGGTACTTTCCAGCATGAAACCAATCAAAATTATATCTATTTCTGTAATATATCTTCCATTCTATCAAATGAGACCAAAAAATACGAGAATATGACATACAAACCATTGGTTACCGACAGTGGCTTCAAGGCCACCTTATCTTTTATGGACAATGTATGGTGTATGTGCTTTACACAACAAAAAGAATTTCTTTTATTCATTGGAACCATGGCTAGTGAGCAGGTTATAACAGTAAATGGAGAAAAAGAAATTGGAATGACTTATGCAGCAAGTAACGCCACCGAACAGTAGCAGCAGGTTGGTGTGGCGACCCCAGAAATTTGAAATTATTCAGGCCAGAATTAGTGCTGGATTACTGATGGAACCAGATTTCTGATTGCCGGATTAGTGATGGCCAACCTGTACCAGCATTATGGTCAGCAGGTGTTGTACAGATGGTTATTGTGTGTTGACACACAAGTACCAGCATTATGGTCAGTAGGTGTTGTAGAGATGATTGATGTAGTGCTGTAGAGATAGTTGATGTATGTGTGGATGACTGAGAACAAGATGGAAAGATAGAGTGAGGAAGTGTGTGGGGAGAGAGAGAGAGTGGTGTTAATATAGAATACTATGTATTGTTTTCTAAGAGTGAGCATTATTCACAAATTTAGATTTGTTATCCTGCTAGTGTCTAAAACTAATGTCATTAAGTGTTAATGCTATTGCATATTTTTGTTAAGTGTTGTTGATTAAGGTCAAAATTAGTTTGTTTCAATGCAAACACTTGGTATTCATATCCTCTTCCCTTCCTAAATCCTTCCTCCTGCTTTGTAATCCTACTTGTCTTACCACCAGTCCTTTCAATAATAATTCTGCAGTAAACTTTACCTTCCTAGTAGGGAATGTGCACTGGGTAAGGGACGCATAGACCAAGTGTTTACATTGATATATATAAGTGAGGAGCAGTTTGTTGCATTTAGGGATGTAGTTAGGGTGGATAGGGGAGTCATGTGGCTGATGTTGTAAATGTATGGAATAGGTGGTAGGTTACTAAAAGTAGTTAAATTTGTATGCACAGAGTGAGGCTCATGTTAGGGTATGTAGGAGGGAAAGTAGGACTAGATAGGAATGCGTGATGTCATCATAGTGTTTAACATTTTTATAGATGGGGTTGTGACAGAAGTAAATGATAATATGTTGGGAAGGAGTGTTGGATTGAAAGATGTTTGATACAAAAGTGGAAGTTATCCTAGTTCTTGTAGAGGATTCTGAAGGCAAAATAAAAAAGTTGGTAGATAACTTTGGGGGAGGGGTATGTAAGAGAAAAAAATTAAAAGTGAACACAGAAAAAGAAAGGTAATGAAGATAAAAAGTCGAGGTTCTGATAGATTGAATATCAGATTAGAAAGATGGAGTATGGAAGAAGTAGATGTGTTAAGATATTTGGGAGTGGATATGTCAGCAGATGGGTCTATGGAAGATGAAGTGAATCATAGAATAGAGGGGGGTGGGAAAGGTGCGTGGTATATTGAAGTATCTGTGGAAAGAGATTAGTTTACCGATGGAGGCAAAAAAAAATAGGGAATATACCAGACTATTGGGGTACTAACTCATTTATGTGGGTGTAAGGCATGGGCATTGAATGCTACAGTGAAAAGGAGGCTAGAAGCAATAGAGATATCATGCTTGAGAGTAATGTGTGTTGTGAACATAATACAGAGAATTCAGAGTTAGAAATTAAAAGGTGATGTAGGGTGACTAGGGTTATAATTCAGAAAGCTGAGCAGGGGTTGTTGAGGTAGTGTGGGTATGTAGAAGGGAAGGACAGGGATAGGTTAACTAGAGGGTGTGGAAATCTGGGGTGGAGGGTAGGAGGAGAAAGGGTCATTTTGAGAATGATTAGAGAGAGGAGTTACAAGAGGCTTTGAGTTTTAGGTGCTTGAGCATCCAACAAGCTTGTTAGCTTTGGTAAGGTTTCTCAAAAAACATGATAAGTGTTCCTGACATGGATCTTAGTATATGATGATCTGCAGCTGGAGCTTTTGGCTATCTGGCTGAAGCCTTCCACTGGCTTGCTGATCCACCTTTTAAAACTTTGGGTTATTGTTATAACCATTTTGGATATTAACAGGCTTGTGTTAGTGTTTTAGATAGGAGTGGATGGAAGCAAGTGATTTTTAATAGATGTACTGTTGGAGTGTAAGCAGAGTAACATTTTCCACATAAAACTTAACTGCTTTAACCCTTAACCCTTTCAGAGTCGACAGGCCCTCTCAGAGACTTGTTATCAGGGTTGGCCAAATTTAAAAAAAAAAAAAAAAAAAAATTTTTTCTTATGAAAAGATAGAGAATCTTTTCCCGATCATAATTACACCAAAAATATGAAATTTGATGGAAAACTT